TTTGAACCAAGAATAACCTTGGGTAAAATTGGCTCATTCTCTTATTAAACATTTCTTGAGCAACCACTAAAGGCCAGGCCTACTGTTCCACTCCAGCTGTATGGTGATGACCAAAGCAGACACCGTCCTGAGCTCAAGAAGTCTACAGTTCTAATGCAGAAGACATTCAAGAATCAAGTACACTTACGAATAAATAAGTGCAGTCTAATGAGCATCACAAGGGAAAGGAACAAATCCTACATGACCAAGCCTCTGAAGGAAGTGACATAACCAGAAGCCTGAGGATGGGGTAGGAAGGGAAAAGAACATTCCAGGGAAAGGGGAGTTTACCTGAAGGTCACCTGGATAGGAGACAAGGGCATCAGTAGCAGAGTGACCGGAGGAGTCTGGAGACAAAGGCAGTGGCTAGAACATATAAGGCCTTCTAGACATCCATCCTTCATATCTCACAATTCTAGAGCAAAATGCCACACTCCCAGTTCTTCATTTGTACTCGTGTAATTCTCATGTGCCTGCTCGAATAATAATAGCAATAACTAATATTGCCCAATGCCTGCATGGCTCATAGAGGGCCTTCATACTAGCAGTTATCCATTTACTGTTACTGATATCATTAAATGTCAAAATCATAACATTTAAGGGACTTCCCTGGCCGTTCAATGGTTAAGACTCTGCACTTGCAACACAGGGGATGTGAGTTCAGTGCCTGGTCAGGGAACTAAAATCCCATATGCATGGCCAAAAGATAAAAATAAAAATAAACGGTAGATAACTTATTTTAAAAAATGATAACATTTAAGGGCAATGCTTGGAACTTTGGATTATCTCAGTTAATTCTCAATGCAATATGTTATAGCAAGAGTCACTACATACCATTTTACAGATGAGGAAAGCAAAGCTGTCACAGGTTAAGAGTTGACCCAAAGACTGCACAGTTAATGACCCAGGTGTATCTGATTCTAAAATCCATATTCTAGACTAAGGGATGGCAAGCTACAGCCTGTGCGCCTAACACTGCCAGTCACCTGTTTCCATAGAAAGAGGATTTTTGGAACACAGCCATGCCCATTCATTTACGTATGGTCTATGGCTGTCTTCCCACCACAAGGGCAGACGTGAGTACTTGCAGCAGGGTCTGTGTGGCTCATAAAACCTAAACTATTTACTATCTGGACATTTACAGAAGAAGTTTGCTGACCTCTGCTCTAGACAGGACAAGAGCTTTTATGCAAAGACTCTTGGAATCCCGTAGGAATAAATTCTCTAAAATTGTAAGTGTCTACGCTGAGCTGGGTGCTTTTCTGAGGAAAAGGTCTATGGCTTTCATCAGATTCTCAAAAGAATTTAAGACTTAAAGATTAATCAAGAGCCCAACTGAGCCCAACTGTACTGGAGGAATTATTAGAACAGTGATCTTCAGGCTGTGTGTGGTCCCCACACCCACAGCAAAGAACTTGCTGGGAACCTGTTAGAAATGCAAATTTCTACAAAATTAGAAATCCTGGGGGTGGGGCCTAACAATCTGTGCTTTAACAAGCCCCCCAGGTGGTTCTGAAGTTCTTTCAAGTTTAAGAACCTCAACTATCTAACCTTAAAAAAAATCAAAACAATTTCATATGGTGACAGATGGTTACCAGAATTATCAGAGCGAGCATTTTGCAATGTACTTAAATGTCCAGTCACTGTGTTATAAACCTGAATGTAATATAACATTGTACATCAACTATACATCCATGAAATAAAAGTCAAAACCAAAGTCAAAACACTGAATGCCAACACATCAGAACTCTGGGGTTTAACCATAATTTTTTATTTTTGCATTTTACAGAAAGAAAGAGTAAAAAGTGGCTTATTTGAACTGGTACTTGAAGTTGTCATCTTCTCCACTGGCTCTGACTGTCAACTGCAGCTTTTAAAACTGAACATTTAAGTTCATCTGAGGTTTGAAATTAAAGGACATTGCAGCATTTGGCTTTCTTGCCTTTCCACATTGGACTCCTATTTAAGCTGTGCACTGCTTGTTAATAGCCAACGAGGGTAAACCCCTCTGCAGACGCCACACCGCGAAAAACATACCAGAGACCACCATCTGGACCATTCTTTTTTAGTGACACACGTGACAAAATGGTCAAACATAAAAATTCACTGCCTTGGAACTAGAATTTTCCTCCAACACACTAGCTATGGTGAGTCTGCCTATCCCGGCCACCACAGTCCACAAACGCACTTCTGGTCCAGATCTGGGAGGGCCCCCATCACGATCCCTCAGACCTTGCCCCACACTCCTCTCTGAATCATTTGTTCATTTCAGGACTATTTCTTTCCGGCTCTGAAATCATCAGTGTGACTTCAGAGATGAAAACGTTGTTGTTGCTGAATATTGTAGTTTTAAATGAAAAGGTGATTCTTAGGGAGACTTCCCCACAGTTTCCATTTTGACTACTTTCTTTTCATCCTTGGGAATTAAGAAGTAATTCCTGCCTGAGGAAAGTGGCCCACCTTCTGTATACTCATGCCTTTGGAGGGAAGCCTTGCTCTTGGTTTGGATGAGCTCATCCAGAGAGACGTCTACCTCCCGATGAACGTGAACTTCACCAGCTGCCCAGTTCAACCGTAACTTTCCAGCATTGTCTTCCGGCTTCGGGCCCCATGCAGAGTTTTTCATTGTCTACACCTCTCCTGCGGTGATTCCAGAAGTTTCCCATAAACCTCCCTGACACCTGCATAATTTAATAATTATTATATCAATATTTAATTACCCTCCACCTGCATAATTTAAATCAATTTTTTTGTGTGTGTGCGTGCTTCTTTTCTCCATTTGGAGCCCAGGGTGTATGAAGCAGGTGTGCTGAAGTTGAATGTGGCGCTTTCTGGAAGATTCCCTCTATCGCATTAACAAGACCTCACGGCCTGGAACAGATGGGAAGCATTGTGCTTGGGTAATTAGTGTAGGTAACCCTGGTCTGGGAAGGACCCTTTCAGGGACTGAGTGGGACTTGCTCCGTGTTTACCCACATCAGCTAGAGGAGCAAAGTGCCCGGCACCACTAATTACTTTCAGGTACCCAGCAGCTTCCTACTTTCTATGTTTACTCACTCCTTCACCATTTTCTTCAGAAACCCACTAAAATCAGTATTCCTGCAAAAACTCCATTGCTGCCAAATTTCCTCCTATCTGAGGAACAATACCGGCAGAGAGTATTAATAATAGTAAGCAGTGCTAGGCACTGTTAATTACGTGATCCTCAGAAGAGCCTTGTGAGAACGTAGCATCCCCAGTTGACAGATGAGAAAACTAGGCCTAGATAATTTATCCAAGATTGCACAGTTAGGAAATAGTGGAACTGGGGTTTGAAACTGGTCGGGGTCCAGAGTTCATGCTGGTCACCGCAGGGGGCTCTGGTGCCTCCAAGAGACACCTCTGTCCTCTTCGGAGAAAGCTGCACTCTGACTAAAAGCAGCAGCCTCCCACTGAGTATGGCTTCCCTGTGGCTCAGAGAGTAAAGAGTCTGCCTGCAGTGCGGGAGACCTGGGTTCGATCCCTGGGTTGGGAAGATCCCCTGGAGAAGGAAATGGCTACCCACTCCAGTATTCTCGCCTAGAGAATCCCAAGGACAGAGGAGCCTAGCAGGCTACAGCCCATGGGGTTGCCAACAGTCAGAGAGGACTGAGCGATTAACACAACAATGAACACGGCAGCCAGCTCTCCCCCGGGTTTCCTGAGCCACTTGCAACAGGAGCTGAAGCATCTGTTAAACATGTCAAACCTTGGTTCCTTCTCCAGGTCTTCACTGAGAACTCCAGGGTGGGGCCCAAAGGGTCTGCAGGATGAACAAGCTTCAAGGCAAGCTGCTGCCCACCAAGAACTTTAAGGTAGTGGTTTGGTCGCTCAGTCCTGTCTGACTCCTGCAACCCCACAGACTGTAGCCTGCCAGGCTCCTCTGTCCATGGGATTCTCCAGGCAAGAACACTGGAGCGGGTTGCCATGCCCTTCTCCAGGGCATCTTCCCGACCCAGGGGTCAAAGCGGGGTCTCCTGCATTGCCGGGAGACTCTTTACCAACTGAGCCATCACAGAAGCCTGGGACCACTGACCCAGTCCCGGGAGCTTTGCGAGGTTTTGTCGGTCATCACCTGGCCGCACAGGGCTTCTGTCTGTCTCCAGTGTTTACAAACCCTTCTCTTGTTTGACGGACTCGCGAACACAGAGAACAGACCGGGGGTGCCCAGGGGCAGAGGATTCCGGGAGGGCCAGAGCGAGGAGTTGGGGTTAGCAGGTGTAAGCTTATGGAGAGAGAGCTTGGATAAACAGCAAGGTCCTACTGTAAGCATAGGGAGCTCTGTTAAAAATCCTACAATAAACTATGATGGAAAAATATTCTTAAAAAACATTCTTAAAATGTATGAATGTATGTATGTTTGTATATATATAGGCTTCCCTGGAGGCTCAGATAGTAAAGAATCTGCCTGCAGTGTGGCAGACCTGGGTTCAATTCCTGGATTGGGAAGATCCCCTGGAGGAGGCCTAACAACCCACCCTAATGTTCTTGCCTGGAAAATCCCATGGACAGAAGAGCCTGGGGGGCTATAGCCCATTGGGTCGCAAAAGTCAGACACGACTTAGTGACTAAAACACCACTATATGTATGTGTGCGTGTGTGTGTGTGTGTGCGTATGTATATACCATATACACATATATATCTGAACCAGTGTGCTGTACAGTAGTAATTAATTAATTGTAAATCAACTATTCTTCAATAAAAAGATAACAAAAAAATAAAAGTTCTTCCATTTGAAACGTCTTCATTGGACAAGCCTACACCCACCTGCTGAAAGCCCCCACCGAGACAGGATTTGAAATAGACTTTAGACACTGTCCTGACCCTCCTTCCCACAGCATGCAGAAGGTCATGCCTTGAGGCCCCAGAGGCCGTGCCTATCCTGAGCGCGTCTGCGAGGAGCCACGGGCCGCGCTCAGCTGGCATCAGCAGGGTGGGCAGAGTCACAGGCTCCGGAGCAGGGAGAGAGGAGCCACGGAGGCAGAGCAGGTGGAGCCGGCTCCCGCCGGCCGGCTCGCGGCCGGCCTCCCCAGCGCCCCGGGCCGGCTGGCAGGAGCAGAAGCGGCCCTCCTCTCAGGGAGCGGCCCACTGCAAGAAAAAGTTTCTGTGCTTATAACAAGGCAGAGAGGGCGGGGAAGAAGTCCCTTTCTTCTTTTAGAAGAGTAATGTGGTGTGGCTTATTCTTATCTGCAGGCCCACATCTAACATTTGAAGCACCTGGAATGGGAGTGCCAATAGAGCCCCAGGGACCAAATGTCCAAATATTTAAAAGTCATGAACCAAAGAACAAACCGTTACATCAAGTATGTTTATTTTCTTGCCTGGACAAATGCATTTTTGTAATGAACTCAAGGCCGCGCTTGGATTAGATCCCCAGGACCCCCGAGGTCAGTGTGGACCCTGGAGGTAGGGGGAACCTGGCCTTGAATTCTGACTCATGGCTTGTTCTCACCTGACCCCACTCCAGCTTTATCTCAGCCCTGAGAGGCCCACACATACAGGTGTGGACACAGGAGCCTGGAGGCCCGAGTGCTACCCACACTGCAAAGAGCCATTCCGGGCCACCCCCCAAGACTGAGGTGCATCCATCACTGAGGCAGTCCATCTTTGGGAAAATATGCCCACTGAGTCCTGGAAATGGACAGAAAAATCCAAGATTCCCAAATCCAAACATCCAAAGGTGGCCTAGAAAGTATGAGTGGCCAGAATCTCCTTTTTTTAATTTTTATTTTATATTGAAGTATTCAGTTCAGTTCAGTTGCTCAGTCATGTCCGACTCTTTGTGACCACATGGACTGCAGCATACCAGGCCTCCCTGTCCATCACCAGCTCCTGGAGTCCACCCAAACCCATGTCCATCGAGTCAGTGATGCCATCCAACCATCCAACCATCTCATCCTCTGTCGTCCCCTTCTCCTCCCTCAGTCTTTCCCACCATCAGGGTCTTTTTCCAATGAGTCAGTTCTTCACATCAGGTGGCCACAGTACTGGACTTTCAGCTTCAACATCAGTCCTTCCAACGAATAAACAGGACTGATCTCCTTTAGGATGGACGGGTTGGATCTCCTTGTAGTCAAAGGGACTCTCAAGAGTCTTTTCCAACACCACAGTTCAAAAGCATCAATTCTTCTGCGCTCAGCTTTCTTCACAGTCCAACTCTCACATCCATATATGACCACTGGAAAAACCATAGCCTTGACTGAATGGACCTTTGTTGGCAAAGTGATGTCTCTGCTTTTTAATATGCTGTCTAGGTTGGTCATCACTTTCCTTCCAAGGAGTAAGCGTCTTTTAACTTCATGGCTGCAGTCACCGTCTGCAGTGATTTTGGATTATAATGTTATGTTAGTTTCAGGTGTACAACAAAGTGACTCAGTTATACACACACAAGTGTATGTGCTCAGGTACTTTAGTCCAACTCATTGCGATCCTACAGACTGTAACCCGCCAGGCTCACCTGTCCATGGAATTCTCCAGGCAGGAATACTGGAGTAGGTTGCCATGCCCTCCTCCAGGGGACCTTCCCAACCCAGGGATTGAACCCGTGTCCCCTGCATTGCAGGTGGGTCCTTTATCGCTGGGCCATAGGGGAAGCCCCATATACATAACGTATACATATACCTATTCTTTTTCAGACTCTTTCCACGTGTAGGTTATTACAGAATATTGAGTGGAGCTCCCTGTGGGCACTGCTTTCGTGACCCTGTAAGGAGGGACGCGACCCAAGGCAGCCCAGCGCAGGGTCTTCTGGAGCAGTGCCACCCAGAGTTTGGTCCTAGACAGAGTTTGGCTCTCGCATCTTGAGGGGGTGGGCACTGGGAACACGCTGACTCTCAGGCACCACCACAAACTACTGAGTCGGGAACTTAGGGTGGAGCCCAGGACTCTGAGCGGGAACCAGCCTCCTGGCTTCTAACTCACGCCCGAGTCCAGACGCACAGCTCTGAGAATCACAGGGCTCGGGGCGGGTACCCGCTCAGCCCCGGCCCAGTCCAAGGACGATGCCGCTTGTCTTTTTCCTTCTGACTCTCCTTTGGGCTCTTGCCACAGGTTCCGTGTACATCTTTCCCAGTTGCCTGCATCCTACTGAAATCTCACCTGAGGCTTTTCTTACCTTTTTTATCTCACCTCCCGCTGTGCCCCACCCTCATCAGCCCTGTGCATCTGTCTACTGGCCAGGGTTCAATCTGCATAGCTATTTTGCTTCCTCCTTTATTTTTTTAGTCAAACTTTTAATTTTGTATTTGAGTATACACTTTTTATTTTGTATTGGGGTAGAGCCAGTTAAGAGGACTTCCCTATAGCTCAAATGGTAAAGAATCTGCCTGCAATGCAGGAGATCAGGGTTCAGTCCCTGGGTCGGGAAGATCCTCTGGAGAAGGGTATGGCAATCGACTCCAGTGTTCTTGCCTGGAGAATTCCAGGACAGAGAAGCCTGGCAGACTGTAGTCCGTGGGGTGGCAAAAAGTCGGACACGACTGAGTGACTGGCACACACACATGGCCAGTTATCAATATTGTGAAAGTTTCAGGGGAACAGCAAAAGGACGCAGCCACACATATACATGTATTCATTCTCCCCCAAACCCCCGCCCATCAAGGCTGCCACCTAACACTGTTGCTCCCTCTTTTAAATTGCAAGTAACTGCCTTTTGCACTTTGGGTGCCTATCCCGAGGCCTTGTAGAGACCAGAGACCTCACAAACACGTGTTGATCACCTTCACAGAAAGAGGAGAGGAAAAGATAGGGAAAGGAAAACAAACAAAAGTGACTCATGCACAAAGGAAAAGACTTTCCCTTCAGCCCAGAATCCTCTTTCTTCCTTCCTAGTTCCTCTGCTTATGCAAAATGATGGGCTCCTGGTGGGACTGTGCTATGCTGGAGACATGCGATTTTCACCAAGTTACCAGACCTCCCCAAACCTGTTCCCCTACCTTGAAAAAGTAAGATGTCATGAGCCTGGACTTTGATGGAGTTTTTTACAACATTGGTCACAAAAGAAGTGCTCAAAAAAGCTAGCTTCCTTCCCAAAGGCCAAGAATTCCAATTGCCCAGTAAGCACAGAGCAGGCACAACCATAGCCAGTAGTTTAAGGTCTAAAATCCATTTAGGAAGGAGTGGTTTCTTGGGGCACAAAGCTATGGATATTTTGTCAGTAGGGGGTCGGGCCTAGCAGCAGATTCAGATTTTTTGAGTCCTAGAGCTTGTACAATCTGGGAGACTCATTACAAAAACAGACTATTTTACTTTGGCAAATTTTACCAAAAAATACAGCCATGTGATCATTGCTAGGACCCTCCCTGGGTCTTGGAAGGCAAGTGAAAGGCCCTTGAGCTTTACTCATTTCACGATAAATCTCTCTGGTCAGGTTTCAGGGCAGAGATCTGAAAGGGCAGGAGTTACAACTTGGTGTTTAGGACTAAACACCAGTCAATAAAGTTCAAGGTTTTCTCTCCCCCTGGGTCTTGCCTCAGTGGAGCTCTCCCTCTTTCTAGCACAGTTTCTGGGTGAATTCCTTTCCCTTCAACTGTCTGCAGTCAGAGTCCTTGCTCCCACCCATCACCTCCCGAAACCCCAGGGCAGCACCCTTTCTTGGCTGCTTTGTGATCAGTTGGCCTCTGAAAGATTGTGTTCAAACCTGTCCCCATGCCCGCGGCTAGAGAAGTGGCTGGAAATCAGGAACCGCATGTTGTGCTCTCCTGCTGGCCGGGGACTCGTTGAGCCCCGCTTGGGCTCTGGGTCTTGATTTTTCTCTCTGTAAAATGGGGCTGCCATGGGCACCGCCACTGTACCCCCCTCCAGGAGTCCCAGGAGCGCACGAGGAAACGAGGTCATACTTCTTGAAGACTTGGTGCTCTTGAGTGAAAATGCAATGCTAAATTACAAGAAAAACGTATCAGAGCTAAGAGTTCATTTCTTTCCCCTTTTTTTTTTTTTTACCAAAATATTCTGAAAGCAGAGTAAGCCAGAGCTTGCGTGTACAGCACTCAGCACCCACGGCTTGAGAAATGTTTATCTAAGGAGAACACGTCAAAGTGTGGTTAGAACAAAGGAAGGAATAAAAGGAAAGCGAGATCGTTATCAGATTTACCAACACTGAAGAGGGAAAAACAAGAGAGAGAGAAAGGCTGGAGGCTACCCTAAACAGAGAAGAGAAACAGAAGAGAACAGGGGCAAATGGGTAAACCTGGGCCACGGTCTCAGAAACGTGCCCTCCTACCTCAGCCTTGGGATTCCACTATCCTCCGAGATGCACATCTTAATGAAACAATCCCGGGGAAGAAGGCTCACCATGAGAGGAACCTTAGCTAGTCTCCAGCAGAAACGAGATTAGCACCCAGTCTCCTGACTCCCCCTGAGAGGCCTTGCTCCTACACTATGCTGACGATGCAGGAGAAAATCCGCCAAGGAGAAATGTCTCCTGGTAATCTGGCCTGTTCATTTCAAGCACATGCGGCGCTGGTATTATCAGAATGTTCAACTATTAGATCTTCGAGGTCTGATTGCAATGAAATTGATTTGTAAGTAACAGCATCCGACTTGCTAGCAATTCATTAAACTCGGGAGCTTTGTGTTGGAGCTGAATTACCCTGCCCTCTAGGAGTGTATTGTTTCAGTTGAGGAAAGAAGTGTAGCCTTGTCAAAAATGACCAATAATAGAGACAAGATTAGCATTCATTAATGAAGGGTCCAGGGAGATGCTCTGGAAACAGTCATTTTGGAGGATGCCAGAGGTGGGGCTGGATATGGAAAATGAACTGGTGAATTTCAAGAGAGGAAATGAGAATCGTGCCCGATATCGAACTCTGTAGGCAAAGACCTAGAGAGAGGGACTGTAGGACAAGGGACAGGGAGTTCACCCGTCTGGCTAGATTTTAGGCTTTATGTCCAGAAAATAATGTACAAAGGTGGAAAGAGTGTGGGACCCAGATTGGGGTAGGCAAAATTAAATTTAAGCAAAGGGGAAAGAACTTGATCCTAGAGGTAAAAAGAACCATAGAGAATTGGGCAAAGACAAGCTGAAAGTATTGGGGTCAATCTGGCTGTGGTATGCAGTAAGGATTTCAGGGTGAAGGACCAGCAGGGGGGAGATTCATTCCACGGGGTCGCAGAGAGTCAGACACGACTGAGCAACTGGACTGAATGGAACTGAGGTGGGGAGACCTCCACTAGGACGACCCTGGGGGCTCAATGGTAGAGAGTCCACCCGCAGTGTGGGAGACCTGAGTTCAATCCCTGGGTGGGGAAAGTTCCCTGAAAGAGGGCATGGCAACCCACTCCTGTATTCTGGCCTGGAGAATCCCGTGGACAGAGGAGCCTGGTGGGCTACAGTCCCTGGGATCGCAGAGAGTTGGACATAACTGAGTGACTCAGCACAGCGCCGTGGAGAAGGAAATCACCATATCCCAAGGACTGAAACAGCAGCGTTCCCACCAATCAGGAGTCTTATGCCTTGAAAAGTCCGGGAGTATCCCATTTGGAAGGGCTGTCCCCTGCAGAACTCTTTCAGGACAGTATTCACCTCCCAACGAGAAACTAAAATCGTCAGACAGACATGAAAATGAGGGGACTGGAGTCAGAATTAGCACCATTCAAAGTCTGACCCCAGCCTGCAGCCCCCAAACTCCCCAACACTAACCGCTGCCTCCAGGCAGAGCCAAGAGGAAGTCCGCGGCCGCGAGTGGCTGTTAGTGTGAGCCCGGGGGGCAGTTCCCCGGCCCAGCCAGGCCTCTTGCACAACCACAACTGTCAGTTGAAAAAGCAGGAAAGACACCTGGGGGGCTTCAACCTTAAAATAAGATCTGTGAGCGCTTGCAAAAAACAATCCTCTGTGCAGGCTGCCTCTGAGTATGTGTTTATTCCTCTTTGTATGTTTTATTACTTCTACATCTCGGCAGCTAGCAAAGTGAATGCATGAGTGGAATATGTTTTCATGGGATGTTTTATTTTTATTATGATGTGTATGTGTGTGTGTGTGTAAAAAATTAAGGTACCCAGGTTTTGCATAGGAAGACTAAATAAAATGCCAATTCATAACTGTATCAGGGGAAAATGTAGCTCAAATTCAGGTCAGCCTTTGAACAAGCAAGACATTATTTGGGTGTTTCCCTAAAATGTTGGTCTTTTCGTCCATCCAAATCTTGCTTATGCAAGTGCCCCTCTCTGTAAAGTAGTCTGCTTCTCTCCAACTATTGAAATTCGCACTGTCATGTGAATCCCTTCTCTGCCCGCCGGCCTTCTCCTCCAAACCTTCCTTGGCACACGTCACCCTCCACGGCACCTCCATAATACTGTTAAATTAACCCCCATAATATTGGTAAGTGCCTGCTGTTTTAACATTCTGTCAGGAGTCCGTGAAACAGGTGCCTGTCTTCAAAGAACTCACAATCCATTTGACGAAATAACTGCACAAACAGCTAAGCCCTCCTAAAACGTGACCAGGCCCCTTAAAGGACGCACATACTAACCACTGGCACTAAGTCTGCCTGGGGTCTCTGCTAGTGAAGCAGCCTTTAAGAGCTGCATTCTTACGATCTGATGCTCCTGTCTTCCGGTTGTAGCTGATTGGCCAGTGAGGGGTCCTAAAGCCAAAGACTGCCAATAAGAAGGGTGGCCAATGAGCAGGCAGGCCGATCAGAAGCTTAGGAAGTGGCTGGTCCCAAAGCATTCAGCCCACACAAAGTGGAACCAATCCAATTCCTACTCTTGGGAATTTAAAATAGAAAATATGGCAAGAGCATGGTAGAGATCAGCAGAATAAAAGCTGGACGGTAATGAGGTGGAAGCAGGACAGTCCTGATGGGCCTGGGTGAGCCAGCAAGGCCTCCAGTAATAGTTCACGTTTATTGAGCAGCTATTACATGCCAGGATTGGCTGTTTCTTCCCCACTTGATAGCTGAGTGGATTAAAGCCTTATAATTATGGTTATAGTTCATGAAGTATAGTTCATGGATTATAGCCTTATGGTAAAGGGGCTTGTGTAACTCCATGAAGCTGTAAGCCATGCCACACAGGACCACCCAAGACGGATGGATCATAGTGGAGAGTTTTGACAAAACATGGTCCACTGGAGGAGCAAATGGCAAACGTATTCTTGCCTCGAGAATGCCATGAACAGTATGAAAAGGCAAAAAGATATGACACTGAGAGATGAGTCCCCCCGGTCCAGTACGCTACCGAGGGAGAGCGGAGGAATAGCTCCAGAAAGAATTAAGCAGCTGGGCCAAAGCAGAAACAATGCTCAGTTGTGGCTGTGTCTGGTGGTCAAAGTAAAACCTGATGCTGTAAAGAGCAATACTGCATAGGAACATGGAATGCTGGGTTCGTGAATCAAGGCAAATTGGAATGGTCAAGCAGGAGATGGCAAGAGTGAGCACTGACATCTTAGGAATCAGTGAGCTAAAATGGATGGAAATGGGCAGACTTAATTCAGATGCCCATTATATCTACTATTGTGGGCAAGATCCCTTAGAAGTAATGGAGTAGTCTTCACAATCAACAAAAGAGAGTGAAATGCAATACTTAGCTGTAGTCTTAAAACCAACAGAACGATCTTGGTTCATCCCAAGGCAAACCATTCAACATCACAGTAATCCAAATCTGTGCCCCAATCAATAAGCTGAAGAAGGTGAAGTTGACTAGTTCTATGAAAACCGGGAAGATCTTCTAGAACTAACACCAGGAAAAAAATGTCCTTTTCATCATAGGGGACTGGAATGCAAAAGTAGGAAGTCAAGGGATGCCTGGAGTAACAGAAAAGTTTGGCCTTGGAGTTAAAAAATGAAACAGGGCAAAGAGAACACACTGGTAGTAGCAAACACCATCTTCCAACAACACAAGAGACAGGCAACTCTACACATGGACATCACCTGATGGTCAATACCAAAATCAGACTGATTATATTCTTTGCAGCCAAAGATGGAGAATTTCTATACAGTCAGCAAAAACAAGACCTGGAGCTGACTGTGGCTCAGATCATGAACTTCTTATTGCCAAATTCAGACTTAAATTGAAGAAAGTAGGGAAAACCACTAGACCATTCAGGTATGACCTAAACCCCCAAGATTATACAGTGGAGGTGATGACTAGATGCAAGGGATAAGATCTGATAGACTGAGTGCCTGAAGAACTATGCATGGAAGTTCATAACACTATACAGGAGGCAGTGACCAAAGTTATCCCAAATCAAAAGAAATGCAAGAAGACAAATTGGCTGTCTGAGAAGGCTTTACAAAGAGCTGAGGAGAGAATGGAAAAATAACAGAGAAAGGAAAAGATATACCCAACTGAATGCAGAGTTCCAGAGAATAGCAAGGACAGAAAAGAAAGCTTTCTTAAGTGAACAATGAAAGAAATAGAGGAAAACAATGAGTGGATAAGGTTAGAGATCTCTTCCCCAAAATTGGTGATATCTAGGGAACACTTCATGCAAGGATGGGCATGATAAAGGACAGATGTATCTGTCCTAAGGACCTAATAGAAGTAGCAGAGATTAAGAACAGGCAGAAGAATACACAGAGGAACTACACAAAAAAGTCTTAATGATCTGGATAACCATGAGGGTATGGTCACCCACTTAGAGCCAGACATCCTGGAGTGTGAAATCAAGTGGGTCTTGGGAAAAATTACTGTGAACAAAACTAGTGGAGGTGATGGAATTCCAGTTAAGCTACTGAAAATCCTAAAAGATGATGCTGTTAAAGTGCTGCACTCCATATGTCAGCAAATTTGGAAAACTCATCAGTGGCCACAGTACCAGAACGGGTCAGTTTTTATTCCAATCCCAAACAAGGGCAATGCTAAAGAATGTTCAAACTACCATGTAATTGTGCTCA